TCTTGTGGCCATTCCTTCTCCTCGATGTTTTCCCCACTAGACCACTAGAACAAAGCTTTCTTTCCTCTTCTGGTAGTCTGCCTTTTAGGGCCAACGGCTAACCTTATACAAACCTGACTAGACAGGAGCTGGGTAGGTTCTGACCCAAGAAACTCCCTTGACAGAATGAAAGGCCATCCAACAGATTCATTACTTTGGATTAAATTCAGCAAACTCAAATTATCTTCCCTGTAACTTGTTCTACCACCCTGAACATATACACATATTATCAATATACACATTATGAATGAGTCGACTGTATTCTCTCCAGAGAACCCAAGTTGAAAACAATAAGTGCAAAGAGCTTAGTAGGAGTAATAGCCAGGAGAAGACAGATGTTCTTGGTCAATTTCCCTTTGTCAGGCAGTAATAATGATAACAACAAAAGAGACATTTATTGACTCTATGTGATCTCCCCAGAATACTATTTATTAACCCCATCTTACAAGAAGAGGAAACTGAGCCGAGGGAATGATGCAATTTGCCCAAGGTCGCTCAGCTAATAAGTGAATAACCAGTTTGTGCACTTAATCTCTGTGCTGCAGTGCTACTTTGGAGAAAGGATCAACTGTGAAACAAGACTGCTCACAGTGGACTTGGTGGAATATTGCAACTGAAATTCCGTATGTCTTTTGTTTCCAAAACAAAAATGATGGCTTGCAAAGGTACAGTGAGATTAGCAAAATTGTTTTCTGTTCTTGTTATGTGAAACCTGGGTTTTATATCATGAGAACTTCATTTTCCAGTCTATCTTCAAATGAGCAGAAAAGTTGGAATTCGCAGTAATTTTCAGAATAGAACTTCAAATGAAATTTTAAAAATCAGTACCACATAACATCCCAGTATTCTAATACATCGCTGTGAAGAGTTCACTTCGAAGCCAAGCACACCTTCCTCATTCGCATTCCAGAAATGTGCCTGCCCCCCAACCCCATGCTTTGCCTGGAAAAAGTCCTCTTACTATTCAAGGACCAGCTCCAATGCCACCTCTTTTATGAAGTCGTTCTCAGTCCCACAGGCTGAATTAATTGGCCCTCCTCTGTGCTTCCGCAGCCCTTACATTATTATTGCTAGCATAGCTCTCACCACACTGTTTAGGTAATTGCTTAAGTAAGGTCCTTGAGACCATAAAACCTTTATTCCCATGCCCTTAGCCTAGAATATTTCATATTTTACCAAATCTAAACCTGCACTGATTAGCTGGGTGTGGTGGCTCACACTTGTAATTCTAGCACTCAGGAGGCTGAGGCAGGAGGATTGCCACAAGTTTAAGTGCAGCCTGAACTATGCAGCAAGACCCTGTCTCAAAAAAGAGCAGAAACAAAAGCAAAAACTGCATTCATTGTAAAATACATTATTATATTAGTTCATAAACTACTAAGAAAAAACACAGACAAGTGTGCTATAAGAAACTGTTAATTTTAAGATATATCCCAAATTCAGGAATACCCAAAATATTTTTAAAATACATTTATTAGAACTAATGAACTTGGGAATAAGTGATCAGCAAATGTTTACAGAATGAGAACCCAAGGTGAGGCATGGAGTTCTCTAAGAGCCCAGTCTTCTTAAGTAAGGAGTTGGGAGTTGAGAGGGAATAATGTGTGCTTACACTGCTGACTTCAAATATTTTACCCAACAGATTAGTTAAAGGGATGAATGCCCTCAAGTGCCACCCACATTAAAAAATAAAACACATCCATATGCCTCACTCAGTATTGGAAGGTGTTATAGTTTGTACCTAGATGCACCCCCCCCCCAGTCTCATATAGTCATAGGGCTTTTTCAGAGGTGGCTGAATCTAGAGTGTGTGGCTGGAATAAAGGCTGGGTGCTTCCTAAACGAGTCCTCTGATTGGTTTGACACAGCCCTAATTCCAGTAGTCTGGATAGGATAAAAGGGCAGAAAGACGCTGGTAAGTTCCCTGTCTTGTTGCTTTTACTGTCTTCCACCAGAATAAATAGTTGCCCCTGTGATATGCCACCCTGCCTTGGAGCCAGCCAATTATTGACTGAAATCTCTACAAACTGCAAGCTAAATAAACCTCTCCTCTCTTAAATTTGGGCAGCAGGTATTTTGTGTCAGCAACGAGAGAAAAGCAACCAAAACAGAAAGTATGACGACAATATATTCTGATCAAAATTAGGAGATGAGGGCCGGGGATACAGCTCAACAGCATAGTGCCTGCCTGGTAAGTGTGAGGTTGTGAGTTCCATTACTGGTATCAAAAAAAAAAGGGAGATGGCACCAAAGGCATAAAGTGAGAGCAGTTATAGAGCCAATGAACTCTGGTTCTTTAAACTGGTTCAACCCACCACTGTTTCCATCTGCCCAGGAAGAGGAGCACTCACTTCCTCACTTTACCCAAGACTACTCCAGCCCTGCTTTTATTTTGATGTGATTCCTTTTCCTCTGTGCGTTGGTGCAGTGACCTTGGCTTCTCTTTCTACTTGGCCTTCTGAAGTTGGTGACTGCATATCACCTCCCTGCTTCGTGTCTGGACCATGGCTTCCCATAGGGTCCTTCATTTAGGCAAACCTTGCTGGGTTTCGGTGTCCCAGGCCACTTCATCAAGAATCTGTACTCCAGTTCCATCTTAGAAATACAGCACCCCATGCCAAGGTGGGCTAGGCCGTGGACTTGTCTTCTCTAGACCTCCCTCCACACATTCCTTCCTAGCTTCCCAAGTACACAACATGCTGGGAAAGATAAGAAATCCTAAAGGTATGATTGGTGAATAGAAGTTCTCCTGGAGTAAACGTTCCTCTTTAAAAACAGAATTAGTGGGTCAGGGGTATAGCTCAGTGGCACCACTGCCTGCCGGGCAAGGGTAAGGTCCTGAGTTCGATTCCTGATACCAAGAAATAAAAAATAAAAATAAAATAAAATAAAATTAGTTCTAGGGGTGTGGCTCAGTGGTAGAGCATTTGCTTAGTATGAGTAAGGCCTGGTTTCTGACCCCCACCACCCTCTAGTGGCTTAATACAATGTGAACTATTTTAACCATCTAGGTAGCGTTTAGGGAATGAGTCTTTATGGGTCAATTTCAGGGATGGTTAAGGACGGCAGTGAATCGAATAGAGCAAAGAGTCCCCACTTTTTGCTCTTGTGCCTAGACCCTTGGTAGATGCCAGTGACCACCACCAACTTGGAAGTCATCTCCCTCTTTGAGGCACACGGCCAGGGCCAGTGTTAAGTTTATGAGGACTAAATCAGAAAACTCCAAAGAGTTCTACCTTCCAGGGGAGCTCAATCTCAGCTGCCCCGCCCAGTCCTGCTCAGTCTGCAAGTCAGCTTAGTTTATTTTCATTCAGTGCCTTCCCTAATCCTGATGAGTAAGGAGAAGAAATGACCCCATTTACTCACTCTGCTGATTTATTATTGACACAGTATTTGGAGATGTCAAAACTATCCAAAGAGCCTGTTTATACTTCCTTTGAAAGGGATATCTGCAAAGTAGGTCCCCTAAGATATTATAACTGACTGCACCTGATGCCACAATTTTATTTCATTACAGGTACAGTTATAGTTGAGTATTAACTCACTGAGGTGAAACAACTGAGCATTAAAATGGTTTACTTTTAAAAATTTTTTCATACTAGGAATCAAACTCAGGACCTTGCCCTTGCCAGGCAGGCGCTGTGCGGCTGAGCTACATCTTCAGCCCCTCAAATGTTTAAGAGACAAGGTTTTGCTATATTACCCAGCCTGGCCCCGAACTCCAGAGCTCAAGCAATCCTCCCACCTCAGCCTCCTAAGAAGTTGGGACTACAGGTGTCTGCGACCACGCCTAGCTCTGAATAGAATCTTGAGCACAGTTCTGCTCCCTCGGTTTACAGATGAGGACTTTTATGGCTGGAAGGCTAATTAACTAGTTAATCGAGGGCAGGTACTAGGAAGCAAGTGTCCTGGCTCCCAGTTTGGGAAAGTTCGCATCAGGGTAGATACCTAAAGCCCGAGAGTTGTGTAGTCTGTGATTACATTTAGTTAGTTGAGCTTTAAAACACCATGCACATAGAACTCTGATTATACGAAATCTTGACGATACAAACAAATAAAAAGAATCACCTGCCCCATCACTTCCACCATAGGATGGAGGCAGTATATTTCTACTCTAAGTATAAAACAAATTGTCATTGCCTGAGTCCCTTACAGTGCCATGTGACCATATAAATCAAGCCAGCTCAGCAAAAGTTTACCTAGATGACATCCAACACCCTTCACTACAGTCCTAGCCTGATGATATAAGCCAGGCAAAGAGCTTAGGAATTCCCCCCCGCCCCGCCCCCAGTTCAATTTGGGAAGACCTTTGTAACATCGCCCCTTGCTGGTCAACATGAGAAAATGCAAAAGCCACTGCCCACCAAAGCAGGTCTCTTAGGCAAGTTGCAGCAATATCTCTCAGTCCTCTTCTAGTCTATGGGAATAGTGGCCAGGCCAAAGGAGAAAGCAAAAGGAAAACAACAAGGAGGAGAAAAAACTGCATTTTTCCTGAGGTGTTTACATGTTCCCAATTAAGGTTAGACCCCAAAGAAAGCAGCTACATTTTAGGTATCCCATTGAGTTAGAACAGGGAGCTACAAGAGTCACAGACATATCCTATGCTTATACACCTAAACAAGATTTTCATTGTTAACATCAATGAACACAAATGGGAAAATATTCGTGGGTCAGGAACATATTGCTCACTAGATCACAAAATGACTGTTGATTTGTACTCATAAATGTCCTGGCCAATGACTATGTGTTTTTGAGTAAAATATATATTTACGTGTATATAAAAAGATTTCTGAAACTTCATTTACACTTGGAGCTTCTCAATGAGTTCATTAGAAAGAAAACACAGTAACTTTGTAGTTTACATCTATATGTTTTACAGATCCGCTGATTCAGCAAAAGTGAAAATTATATTCTATTACGTACATTTCGGGTAATACACAAAATAGTACAATAGACATTGGTTTGGCTCAGTAACTTGCCTGATGAAAGGCTTTATTCAATTTAGAGCTCCTCAGAAAAGTCATCAAAGGTACTTGATGAACCGACCACCGAAGCACAGTGTTTTCGGAGCAACTCCAGGGCTCTGTTGTTTCTTGCCTGCAGGGTTTTCTCAGCTGTCACTTCATTCTTGATGGCATTTAACTCACCACGAATCTTTTCCACCTCGACTTCATAGCACAATTTCATTTCTTCTTTCAGGAGTGCCTTTCGGAGTTCGGTTTGACGCTTTAGCTTCTGAACTTTCTTTTTTAAATCTCGGTTCTCTAGGTCCAATTTGTAGATGGCCTCTTTGGCTTCTTTGAGTTCTTCAGTTAAGTTTTCAGCATCTATTGCTTTTTCATGCAGGTCATTTCTTAAGGCTTGAAGTTCCCAGGCCATTTTCAAATCATCAGTCTCTGTTTCTTCAAAATTTAGGGATTTTGTAGAGCCTTCTTTTTTGGAGTCCAAAAATTCTTTTTCGGTCTTATCAAATTCTTCTTCTATTTCTCTGTATTTCTTATTGACTTCCTCCAGTTCTTCATTCAAAAGGCTCAGGCTAAGTTTTGGGGACATTTGTTCGGTCAGTTTCTTCTCTGTATCTTGTTGTGATACAGTTGGGAATTCTTTTTCGTACCAGGCAGATGGTTGTCCGATTCCGTTAAAACTTTCTTTGCTCACAACATCCACATTAAGTGATTCACAGGAGGCAGAATTTGTGACTGCTACATTCTTTGACATGTTAATCCCTCTGTCTCTTAAATTTGATTCTTGTTCTCTTTGATTTAGCTGGGAAATGTATTCTTTCCCCTTAAATTCATCTTCTTCTTGAAACTTTCTACTGGAGACATTATAAATCCCTTCCACTTTCTTGATCTTACCTACAGCTGTGTGTTCAGAGGAAGTTTTAGCCTGGGAAGCCTCTTCTAGAACATCCTTTGCATTAACCAGAGGCACAAACGTCTTTTCCTTCCACGGTTTTCCTTGAGTATCCATTTCTTTAGGCTCCTCTTCCAGTTCCTGAAAAACACAATTTAGAATCAAGACACATTATTTACTCTGGCAGAAAGAACTTAGAACTAATAATGCTTGCTCAACAACAAAGGGACTTCAACGCTTGAGGGCTGGCTCTCCCTTTAACTCAGAAGTGGTATGGGCCTCAGTTTCCTCATTTAGAAATTGAAAGAGCTGAACTACCTAAGTTCTGCAGACAATTCTAGCTTTGAAATTTTTCCATCCTATAAATGAACCAGCAAGTTAGCACATTTGGTTGTTCATTTTAGACAAAATAATTCTATGAGAAAGCAATTGTACCTATGAAAACAGCTTTGAAATCATGAGTGATTTGAAATTAATCAGCTAATGCTAATACCTGTATTTTCAGTGTGTCCAATTTTTCCTATGTCTTTTGGATAGAACTAATATTGAGTCATTCCTTAAAGTGAGTAAAACATTGGGGCTTAATGTAATGTGAGTTGCTTTTGGTAAAGTATACTAGGAAGATATCCTTATGACTAACTGCCAAATGTCCTTCTGCCTTGACCTATAAATTCTTGCTATTGCAGTCTTGAGTTTTGCTTTTAAGCAAGACTGCCAAGTGTAGAGAATGCTATCCACTTTGACAGCAATTTCAGGATGAGAACCTAATGTTAACAATTGAAAATATTAATGGCATCAAATGTGTTTTTCTCAAGATATTGACTCTGAGCTGAGTGCGGTTTTCAGGGGAAAACATTATACTAAAACAAAACTGGTATATAAAGTTATAAAACTTAGAGGAGGATTATTTGGTTTTAAAAAGAGCCTTCCCCATTCAAAGAGAATCATTAACATACAGCTTTCTCAAAGCTTGGAAATATTTGATTAGTAACTCCTCTGCAGGAGGACAGAAAGAAGGATCCAAGGAACATATCTAGGGGCTAATGAGCACCTGAAGTAACCAAGTGGGTAACTGCAATTACCCTGAAAGAGTGAGAAGGATGGGGTCATTGACCCAAAAACTCCACAAGAAGACTCCTTGAATTGATTGACAAATTCAGCAGTGTAGCTGGAAACAAAGTCAACACCCAAAAATCAACAGCATTCCTATACACACAGCATTCCTGTATACACACAACAGACAGAGTGAGAGAGAAATTAAGGAAACCATATCTTTCACAACAGCATCTAAGAAATTGAAATATATAGAAATCTATCTAACAAAAGAAGTAAATGATCTATTCAGTGAAAACTACAGTACTCTGAAAAAAGAGATGGAAGCAGAGTTCAATAAATGGAAAAACATTCCTTGCTCATGGATAGGAAGAACCAATACTGTGAAAATGGCATTACTGCCAAAATTGTTGTACAGATTCAATGTAATTCCCATTAAACTACCATCAGCATACCTCACAGATCTTGAGAAAACATGCCTTAAATTCATCTGGAACCAGAAGAGACCCACAATAGCAAAGGCAATCCTGGGCAACAAAGGCAAGTCACGTGGAATCACAATCCCTGACCTGAAATTATACTACAAGGCTACTGTTATGAAGTCAACATGATACTGGCAAAAAAAAGACCAGAGGATCAATGGAACAGACTGGAAGAAACAGCCACAACCAAAAAACACACTCAGCCACCTAATCTTTGACAAAGGGGCCAAACAAACTCACTGAAAGAAAGATAGCCTCTTTAGTAAATGGTGCTGGAAAAATTGGCTTGCCACCTACCAAAGACTGAAAATAGACACAAGTCTATCACCATGCACCAAACTCAAGTCAAAATGGATCACAGATCTCAATATTAAAACAGAAACACTAATCTATTGGAAGAGAAAATAGGTAAAAACCTTGAAGACATAGCGGTAGGCAGAGAGTTCATGAACAAAAACCAAACTGCACTGGAAATACTTCAAAGGATCAGCAACTGGGATCTCATCCTACTGAAAAGTTTCTGCACATCTAAATAAATCGCTAGCAGAGTAAAAAGAAAACCCATAAATTAGGAAAAAATTTCAGCTGACTGTCCCTCAGACAAAGGTCTTCTATCTAGAACATATAAAGAATTAAAAAACATCAGCCCCAGTGAGCCACTCTGGTGCCTCCCCGACTACTGTGTGAGGCACGTGGATCCCTGGACAGCTTCTGGGGCCTTGGTGGTCACTGAGAGAGCAACTCACATCCTGCCCTGGAAGCTCAGCTGAAACCTGAACATAGTCAGCAGCCTTGGGGAGCTCACCCTCACCCCTCCACTTCCAGTGTGGGAAGCAGGCTCTCTCCTGGGCAATATCTGAAGCCTCAGTGAACTCAACCTTCATCCTCCCTACTCTTGTGGAAGCTGGACCGAAACCCAGACAGTCTCAGAAATGCCGGCAAGCCTCCCCCGCCCTTCCCACATACTCCTGGGAGCCAATTGAATGCAAGAAAGGTTGGGAGCATCTGGGACTCCAACTTGCCACCACTCACCAGCACAGGAGCTGCACTGAGCATTGTGGATCTTCAGACTCTCGCCCTGCCACTCACACACAATCAGGACAGTGAGACTGCACTCCAGGGAGCCTCTGGATCTTCAAAAATGACAAAATGAAGGAGCAAAATGCAATCCCAGAACTCCACATCACCCAAAACAAGTCCAGGAGACATCAACATAGAAGAGCCTGGAAGTCATACACCAGAAATTTTCTAAAATGATAGCAATGGAAGTAAAGAAAGAAGTCTATCAAGCCATAGAAGAAATCAGATCAGAAATAATGTCTCAGGTAAGAATTGAAATAACAACAATAATGAAAGAAATGTTCAGCATATCCAAAGATGACAAGGATAAGAAAATAGAAGAGGATAGACAACTCATGGAAAACTTCAGGGAACAATATAGAAAAGAACTAGAACTAGAAGGTATGAAACATAAGCAAACAGAGATCCAGGAAATTAAAAATTCCATTGAAAGCTGGCAAAACTGCCTGAACGAAGCTGAAGATACACTTTCAGACCTTGAAGACAGCATTGCCACTAATAAACATGAATGGCAGGATCTCTTAAAAACAACAAGGAACCAGGAAATAGCAATTCAACAACTGCAAGACGAAGCAAAGAGAAACAATGTCAGATTAATAGGTATTAATACATTGCAGGTGCAAACACAAATGACATAAAAAGACTATTTGTAGAAATAATAGCAGAAAATTTCCCAGGCATGGAAAAAGGATCAGACATCCAGATGAGTGAAGTATATAGAACTCCAGTTAATCCTAACGAAAATAAATATACACCCAGACATACAGTGATCAACATCCTGGAAACTCAACAAAAGCTCAGAATATTAAAAGCTGCTAGAGAAAAGAAACAGATCACTTATGAAGGAAAGCCTATCAGAATCATGGTAGACTTTTCAACACAAACCATCAAGGCAAGAAGATCTTCGAGTGAAGTATTTCAGGTGCTAAAAGAAAACAACTTCCAACACAGACTGACATACCCTGCAAAACTATCTCTCCAATTTAATGGAGAAATAAAATATTTTCATGGTAAAGAACAACTGAAGAAATTCATGAGTGCCAAAACAATCCAACAAGGAGTACTAAAAGATACTCTAGAATGAGATAAAACAGGCTGCAACTTCAAGAATAACAACAGAAAGGAACCACCAAGCAGAGCAAGCAATAAAACAGAGGGAAAAAGGAGGATCCAACAGCAGGAAAATAGCATGACAAACATAAGCCAGTACATATCAATTATAACCATCAATGTAAATGGTCTCAATGCACCAACCAAAAGAAGCAGACTAGCAGAGTGGATTAGGAAACAAGAAACACATTTAACTCAAAAGGAAATTCATAGACTGAAAGTCAAAGGATGGAAAACAATACTCCATGTGACAGGAACCCAGAAAAAAGCAGATGTAGCTATTCTGTTTGCAGACAATGTGAACTTCAAAGCAAGAACAATCAAAAGAGATAAAGAAGGTCACTAGATATTTGTGAAGGGGAAGCTTCAAGAGGAAGAGGTAACAATCATAAACATCTATGCACCAAATATATGAGCATCCACCTATATAAGACAAACTCTAGCTGACATGAAAAATGAAATAAGTAGCAACACAATCATAACAGGGGACTTTAATACATCGTCACAAAGAGATAGATCAACGAGACAAAAAAAATTGGGAAAGAAATAACAGAACTTAAGCAAATGTGTGAACATATGGACTTAGTAGACTTTTACAGACTGTTCCACCCAACAGCATCAGAATAAACATTCTTCTCAGCTGCACATGAGACGTTCTCTCAAACATAGAACATGTTAAAATGCAAAGGAATTGAAATGATCCCATGCATACTATCAGACCGTAGTGCAATGAAATTGGAAATTAATGACAAAAGAAAACACAAAAATTCCATTAACAGTTGGAAGTTACATAATATCCTCCTGAACAACCAATGAATCACAGATGAAATCAAAGTAGAGGTTAAACACTATTTACAAACAAACGAAAATGTACATACAACCAACAGGAACCTGTGGGATGCAATGACAGCAGACCTCAGAGGGAAATTTATAGTGGTGAACTCCCACCTCAGGAAAACAGAACAATCACAAATAAACAATCTTATGCTGCACCTCAAGATTCTAGAGAAAGAAGAGCAAGTCACACACAGAGCCCAAAGAAGACAGGAAATTATAAAGCTCAGAGCAGAAATTAACACAATGGAGACTAAAAAACAATACAAAGAATTAATGAATCAAAGAGTTGGTTCTTTGAAAGAATAAATAAAATAGATAAACCCCTAGCCAAGCTTATCAAATAAAGGAAAGAAAAATTGAAATACACGCAATAGGAATGAAAGGGGTGAAATCACTACAGAGCCTGGAGAAATTCAGAAGATCATCAATACCTACTTTGAAAATCTTTACTATCATAGGATGGAAAGCACAGAGGAAATGGACAGATTTCTAGATACATCTGAGTTACCAAAGCTGCATGAAGAACATATAAAAATCCTAAATAACTCAATATCACTCAATGAAATTGAGACTGTAATT